AATTGCTGCATTTTCTGGACATGGTGTGTTTTCCACAGTATCAAGTGAGTAAGAAAAGATTCATTTTAAATGCATTCTTTCGGGTGGCGCCTGTGACTCAAGGAGTAGGGCACTGGCCCCATATGCTGAGGGTGGCAGGTTCAACCCAGCCCTGGCCAAAAAATAAATAAATAAAAAATAAATAAAAGCATTCTCTTGTGGGTATGTGGTTAACTTTTTTATTTTTTGTTTTTATGTGGTTAACTGTTTTTAAGGGTATAAGTTCAGTGACATTAACTACATTCACATTGTTATGTAAAAGAAAGGACTGATTTGAAGAACGGGAAATGAAGAACACCCCCTGCCCCGCAACACACACAAAGCTAAGCTCATTAAATGTAACTTTCATCACTGGAATTTTTTTCTATAAAATTCTTACTTTCTGAGCTATCATCAGGAACTTCTAAGATTTCATTATCCTTAAAGATTTCTGACTGGGCACGGTAGCTCGTGCCTGTAATCCTAGCACTCTGGGAGGCCAAGGCTGGTGGATTGTGAGCTGTGATGCCATGGCACTCTACCCAGGGCAACAGCTTGAGACTGTGTCTCGAAAGAAATAAAGAGATTTCTGGAAATTGAAGGCTTGCTTAGATACAGACAAAATCCTCTGCCATATCACAGTTTAGTTAATTTCATGACTTGATATAAGCATTTGTCTATTCTGCTTGTGTTGCTATAAAGCAGTGAGTGGTTCTCAGCCTTCCCAATCCTGCAACCGTGTCATGACCCACAGGTTGGGAACCGCTGCTATAAAGGAATACCTAAGACTGGGTAATTTATAAAGAAGAAAGGATTATTTGGCTCATGATTCTGCTGGCTGGTAGACTGGGCATGTAGTGAAAACCTCAGGCTACTTCCACACGGTATAAGGCAAAGGGTGTGTACAGAGTTCACCTGGTGAGAGAGGAAACAAGGCAGGGGAGATGTCATGGCTCTTTTTAACCAACAGCTGCTCTTATGGAAACAAGTAGAAAATTCACTTATTACTAGGAGGATGGCACCAGTGTTAATGAGGTATCTGCCCCCATGACCCAAGTACCTCCCATTAGGCCCTGCCTATAACACTGAGCACCAAATTTCCTTTTTTTTTTTTGAGACAGAGCCTCAAGCTATCCCCCTGGGTAGAGTGCAGTGGCTTCACAGCTCACAGCAACCTCAACTCCTGGGCTCAAGCGAGTCTCTTGCCTCCGTCTCGCAAGTAGCTGGGACCACAGGCGCCCACCACAACGCCTGGCTATTTTTTGGTTGCAGCTGTCATTGTTGTTCGGCGGGTCTGGGCTGGATTCGAACCCGCCACCTTAGGTGTATGTGGCTGGCGCCTTAGCCACTTGAGCCACAGGTGCCGAGCCGAGCACCAAATTTCAATATGTGATTTAGGGGAGATGCATATCCAAACTATAGCAACATGCATTTCATAGGTTATAGAAAACACAAGAATACTAAGTACGTGAGAAATAATGAGAATCTCGGACTAGGTTCTATGAAGGTCTTGCCATTATGTTGCAGACAGGTAAGCTTGGGAGTGGGCAGATATCTAAAGATAATGTGTCCATATGTAAAGGTGCAGTTCAGTATCAACTTAAGTTTATTGTATTACTTTTCCTTTCCTATTTTACTTTTTAATATTGGATCCATTGTGTCACTTAAGGTGACAGTGCTGGGCCAGGCGCAGTAGCTCATCCCTGTAATCCTAGCACTCTGGGAGAGGTGGATGGATTGCCTGAGCTCACAGGTTTGAGACCAGCCTGAGTGAAAGCAGGACCCTATCTCTAAAATAGCTGGGTGTTGTCGTGGTGTCGTTGCTCACCACAACCTCAAACTCTTGGGCTCAAGCAATTTTCTTGCCTCAGCCTGCCAAGTAGCTATAGGTACCTGCCACAATGCCCAGCTGTTTTTAGAGGCTGGATCTCACTCTGGCTCATGCTGGTCTCAAACCTGTGAACCCAGGCAATCCACCCATCTCGGCCTTGGGATTACAGGCGTGAGCTACTGTGCCCGGCCCAGTGCTTTGTATTTTATGTAATTATCACAACTTTGTGAGGTAAATAGTAATATTATCCTCAGTTTACAGAAGAAGAAACTGAAACAAGTAGACTAAATAACTTACCTAAGGTCATACAGCTAGTAAGTAGTAAAATCAGGATTCAAACTAAGGTAATCTGGTACTAGTAACAGTGCAGTAATCATTACATTTGCTGCCTCTCCAGAACCTTTCTTCCTGTCAATTTAAATTATTCTACTTCTATGACTTGGTTATTTGAATCTCTACAAAAGCAAACATAATACTTACAGCGTTCATTCCATTCATAGCCCTGTGCAAAGCAGAGGAATGGCCAGGCACAGTGGCTCACGCCTCTAAATCGGCCCTTGTGGAGGCCGAGAAGAGTGGCTTGCCTTAGCACAGGAGTTCTAGACCAGCCTGAGCAAGAGTGAGATCCCGGCTCTACTAAAAATAGAAAAAACTAGCTGGGCATTGTGGCAGGCACCTGTAGTCCCAGCTACTCAAGAGGCTAAGGAATCGCTTGAGCCTAAGAGTTTGAGGTTGCTGTGAGCTACGACACCATAGCATTCTACCCAGGGTGACAGAGTGAGATCTGTCTTCAAAAAATAAAGGTGGGTGTGGGGGAGCAGATGGGAGGACTGGCACCTGTATTCCAACCTCTAGAAAAAAGTCAGTTAAAGGAAGCCCACAAGTATAAAGAAGTCATCAAATTCTGCTGTCTAATAACAGCAGTGCTGTCTGGAAATGAGGCATACATCATATTTATTTTGCTCCCATGAATACTTCTGTGTGCAATATTTCTAATTCCCTGGATTTTAGAAATCACGCTGGGGGAATAAAGACATTGGATAGTACTGTAAAAACTCTTGGCTGTGTTCTTTTTTCATTGTCTAGCAACCAAAAACAATGTTTGTAGCAAAAAGGTTCTTAAGGAAAAAAATTATTTTTTCACTCTGACCATTACAGTTTCAGGGCTATGTTACCAGTAATTCATTTAAGATGTACCATTTTGTTTAACTGTACTGTGTGGCAAAAGAACCTGAAGCAGAGAACCTCATTTAATGCTGTTTATTCAATGTGTGCTTGAATAATGTTGGTAGTGTTACCAAAGATATCCTGGCACTAGTTAATTTCTTCATTTTCCCTGAGTTCCTTTTATTTAAAAGGCTAATGCTGGTATTTGGAGTTTTGACAGGGGTTCATTCATTGCAGTTCTTACAAGCTGCTTTAGAGTTGGACAAGACATAGAATTGAGGGGCTGTAAAACATGTAAATGGTTTGGTTCGTGTTCAGAGCTCTCAAGTACGGCTTTTTAAAAAAGAATTCAATTTCTTCTTTCTCGTGAACAGATTGAAGACCAAATTTCTACATACCAATCACTGCACGAACCGAGGCTATTTGTTAAGTCCAGTGACAGTGCAAAGAAACATATGTGGAGAAACAGCTAGTGTGAAGGTCTCCATTGAAATTGAAGGATTTCAACTGCCAGTTACTTTTACATGTGATGGTAGGTTTATAGGTTTGTTAGAAGGGAAATGTTTAAAATACCATTATTATCATTCTTTTAGTAAACCAACTTTGTTATCTTAGTGTCCTTTTGGCATTCATATGGATAGTTAGTTTTCTGGTTAGAACTAGTGCAGAAGCAGGTTACCTCTTTGTAACTACCTATTTCTCTGAGAAGTGCTGAGTAACTTGTTATTTAGTAGCTCTTGGATACGACCAACAAACATTAGACAGAAAAGCTAATTACAATCTTTTTTACTTTTTATGGCAAAAAGAATGTTTCTTTATAAAGAACTGTTGATGAAATTGAAATTCCAAATAACATTCGAGGGTCCTCTAAGGAGGAAATAAGTCTCCTTTGGTTTTTATTCTCTCTTTCAAACTTGGGTGGGTATCCTCTCTAGAGATACATCCCCAAAGTGCGTAGGAAGTTTTTTGTTGTAGTTTTTACTACTGTGTATTTATTATTATGGATAGGGTCTCACTCTGTCACCTAGGCGAGAGTGCAGTACTGCAATCATAGCTCACTGCATCCTTAAACTCTTTGGCCTGTTGGCTCAGATGCCCCAGAAGCTAGGACTGCAGTCATGCACTGCCATGCCTGGCTAATTTTAAATTTTTATTTATTTATTTATTTATTTATTTATTTATTTTTGGCCGGGGCTGGGTTTCAACCCACCACCTCCAGCATATGGGGCTGGTGCCCTACCCTTTTGAGCCATAGGTGCCGCCCTAATCTTTTTTTTTTTTTCTTTTGAGACAAAGCCTCAAGCTGTCCCCCTGGGTAGAGTGCCGTGGCATCACAGCTCAAAGCAACCTCCAACTCCTGGGCTCAAGCGAATCTCCTGCCTCAGCCTCCTAAGTAGCTGGGACCATAGGTGCCTGCCACAACACCCGGCTATTTTTTGGTTGCAGCCATCATTGTTGTTTTTGGCGGGCCTGGGCTGGATTTGAACCCGCCACCTTAGGTGTATGTGGCTGGCGCCTTAGCCACTTGAGCCACACTGCCCTAATTTTAAAAGTTTTTTATAGAGATGCAGTCTCACTATGTTGCTCAGACTGGTCTGAAACTCCTGTCCTCTGGTGATCTTCTTGCCTAGATCTCCCAGAGTGCTCGGATTACAAGCATGAGCTACCATGTCCACCTTATTATAGATTTAAAACTATTTTTATTTTCTTTCAGAGTTTATTACATTTCATAATGTGTATTATTTTAATGGGATACCAATAGTGGAAAGAGATCCTATATTTCTACAGTACTTTGGCCTTTTTAATGGTTTTGACAAGGAATATGTCTAACATTTGGATTCATTCTTTCTAGCTTTGTATGTTTGAAAAAGTATAAATCTGAATAGAAAAATATTAGCCAACTACAATAATCATTTTTTTAGCTTCTAAAGGGAAAGTCATTCTTTTTTTTTTTTTTTTTTGAGATAGAGTCTACCTTGTCACCCTCCATAGAGTACTGTGACATCACAGCTCACAACAACCTCAAACTCTTGGGCTTAAGCAATTCTCTTGCCTCAGCCTCCCAAGTAGCTGGGACTATAGGCACCCACTACAATGCCCAGCTATTTTTTAGTTGTAGATGTCATTGTTGTTTGGCAGGCCCTGGCCGGATTCATGCCCGCCAGCTCTCATGTATATGGCTGGCACCCTAGCCACTGAGCTACAGGCACTGAGCCAGAAAGTTATTCTTTTTAAAAATAGCTTAAACTGGGCGGTGTCTTTGGCTCAAAGGAGTAGGCCCCATATGCTGGAGGGTGGTGGGTTCAAACCTAGCCCTGGCCAAAAACTGCCAAAAAAAGCTTAAATTTTGGCTTGGGGAATTATGTAAATGTAGATATATAGTAAGAATACTAATGTTAAAAAGTTCAATAGGGCTCAGCACCTGTAGCTCAAGCGGCTAAGGTACCAGCCATGTACACCAGAGCTGGCAGGTTTGAATCCAGCTTGGGCCTGCCAAATAATGACAACTACAACCAAAAAATAGCCAGGCGTTTTGGCGAGCACCTGTAGTCCCAGCTACTTGGGAGGCTGAGGCAAGAGAATCGCTTAAGCCCAGGAGCTGGAGGTGGTTGTGAGCTGTGATGCCACAGCACTCTACCCAGGGTGACAACTTGAGGCTCTGTCTCAAAAAAAAAAAAAAATAAGAAAAGTAAAGTTCAATAGGTACTTTGATTAAAATAAGCATGCATAAGCATTGACAGCAAATGTTTTAATTTGTATCAGATTTTGACTTATTGCATTAAAGCTAATCTTAAAGTCTTTCAAATGTCTATTGTTCGGTTATTCATAAACGTGCACATTTGTAATGTATACCTCTGTTAGGAAATATAGCCAAATTATGGTAGCAGTGATTTGTGTTTAAATTATAAATGCCAGCATACAAATGCAGCTGTCATATTATGTTAGAGGTTATTATATTAGATAGGGGCCTTTTCTGCCAAGCTGTTAATTTTCATGTAATTTTAATGTAAATTGCCTTCTTTAAAAAATTAAATGTGGAAGCTGTATATATAGAAATATTTCACTTTAAAATCTTTTATTTTTAATATGTTGTAATCTTAGTATCCATGTTTTGCCAAGATAATTGAACAATGCTTCTACTTGCTGTATTTTTATTCTTCATTGGAAAATATACCAGGCAAATGTCAAACATTTAAAAAAACGATTCTTTTTTTCTTTTATTTTTGAGATAAAGTCTCACTTTCTTGCCCTCAGTAGAGTGCCATGGTGTCATAGCTCACAGCAACCTCCAACTCTTGGGCTCAAGTGATTCTCTTGTTTCAGCCTCCCTAGTAACTGGGACTGTAGGCACTCCCATAATGCCTGGCTATTTTTTAGAGATGGTGGGGTCTTGCTCTGGCTCAAGATAGTCTTGAACCCATGAGCTTAGGCAATCCACCCTCTTCAGCCTCCCACAGTGCTAGGATTACAGGCGTGAATCACTGTACCTAGCTGATTCTTTTTTTGATAATTAATTTTAAATCATTGTATTTTTTTAAATTTTATTTTCTTTCTTTCTTTAAATCATTATTTGCTAGATACTACTAAATGTCATCTGCAGAGGACTGGTCCTAGCACCTCCCTTGGATACCAACACTCCAGGATGCTCAAATCCTTGATGTAAAAGGCATAATATTTGCATATAACCTATGTTCACCTCCCATTGCATCTATAGATTACTTATAATACCTAATATAATGTAAATGCTGTGTGAATAGTTGATGTATTATATTGTTTAGGGAATGATGATAAAGAAAAAGTCAGCACCTGTTCAGTATAAATAAATTCTGCCCCCCAAAATTTTTTTTTCATTCTAAGGTTGTTTGAATCCACAGATAGAGAACCCACAATGGGGGTACTGATTACTTTAGGTTAAATAAAACATATTTTTAAAATTAGTTTCACCTCTTTCCTTTTACTTTTTCAATATTACTAGAATATTTTTAATTATATATATGACCTACATGTGTGGTTTATATTTCTGTTGTACAGTGCTGTTTTAGATTATAAGTAATAGAGTCTTAAATAAGTATATACTTAAAGGTACATGAGTAAAATGAAAATGATGACATTCTTTTACAGTGAGTTCTACTGTAGAAATCATTATAATGCAAGCTCTTTGCTGGGTACATGATGACTTAAATCAAGTAGATGTTGGCAGCTATGTTCTGAAAGTTTGTGGTCAAGAAGAAGTGCTGCAGAAGTAAGTGTTTTAACTACTGAGCAACATCTTTAGAAATGCCATTTTAATTTGAAAATTTTCAAGTTAAATTTATAATAAAAAATAAATTGGGTCCTATTTCAGTTGATTCATTGGATCAGCAAATTCATATTAAGATATACTGTGTCTAAAATGTCATATCTAAGATAGTGGTGTGATTTCAGAGATAGGTAGGTAAGACAGAATTCCCTTAAGAATTTCATAGCCTTATACAGGAAGAATTGCAGGCAATTGATTAATAAGCAGAATAAAATGTTTTTTTCTTTATGTAGAGTCAGTCACATCATAATAGACTCCATTTTCCTTTGGAGCATGCACTATTACTTTATGGATAGTAGTCATCTGTGATTTCTTTTTAGTTGCCTAAAATAATTCTATGAATTTTTTTCTTAACCAGGTCATGTGTTACATTTAACATGTAGTTTAATTGTTTGATGGATGTTATTCTCCTAGACTACTAGAAATGTACTGTCCCTATTTTTATTTCCTTCTTCATCTTTGTCTTGTCTTCTTTCTTTTTCACTTTGACTCTTATAAAAAATAATTCCTCTGCTTAAATGCTTGTACCATTTTCTTTAGTTTCTGATTCAGATATGATTTGTAATTTACTCTTCTATAATTTGTAATTTGAGTAGTATAGTGAATAATTAATGTATTTTAACAGTAACCATTGCCTTGGAAGTCATGAACATATTCAAAACTGTCGAAAATGGGACACAGAGATTAGATTGCAACTCTTGACCTTCAGTGCAATGTGCCAAAATCTGGCCCGAACGGTAAGTGTGTATCTTATGACTGAATTGCATTTAGTTGAATCTTAATAATTCTGCAAATTAGCCATTTTTACTTTTACTCATTTTTTTTTTTTTTGTAGAGACAGAGTCTCGCTTTATGGCCCTCGGTAGAGTGCTATGACATTACAGCTCACAGCAACCTCCAGCTCTTGGGCTTAGGCGATTCTCTTGCCTCAGCCTCCCACGTAGCTGGGACTACAGGTGGCTCCACAATGCCTGGCTATTTTTTTGTTGCAGTTTGGCCAGGGCTGGCTTTGAACCATTATTCTCAGTATATGGGGCCAGCGGCCTACCCACTGAGCCACACAGGCTCCACCCCGAATTAGGCATTTTTAATTTGTACATTTTTCTCAGATTTCTTGGTTGGAATGGGGTGATGAACTCATTATCCTCAACAGGAGTCTTTTCAGCAGTTGGGGGGAGATTTTCATTCATGGAGGTTTAGGTAGCATACTCCTCAGAAAATTTGAAAATTAAAGTGGCGGAATTAAGAGTTTGATTTGTAATAGTTTTACAGACAAGTGAAAACATCAGGGTCAGTCAAGGAAAATGAGGAAGAAGAAAAGATTTTGATAACAATGTGGTTGGGGGAGGAAAGGATCAATATTGACCTTTGTACCAAACTGAGAAAAATTATTTCTCACAAAATCAAAGTCTGGTACTTGCGGAGACGGATGCTTTCACAAAACAAAGTTCAGTACTTTTTTTGATGTTAAAACAAAACAGAATGGAGGAAATTTAGCCATTGTATTATTGTACAAACCGCTGATGAATTTGTAAGTTTTAATCTCTGAAGTACGTTACTCTTCATTTGGTAGAATATTAGGTGGGAAAATACCAGTCATTTCTACTTTCTTTTTTCTTTTCTTGAATTTTACTTCTATGTCATGTAGAATTTATTTCAGTTGGATGGAAACTATTTGATAAAATTCAGTCCATCTTGGCATTCATTAGTAATTGTTCAGTTTCATAAAGAATGATGTTCTTGACTACATTTACATAATATGGACTTATAATAGAAGAGATTAGTACCTTGTTTGTTAGGGCTTGGAAAGGAGTGGGAGGAAACTTGATTATCATTAGAAAAAATAATACAAGACTTGAAGTGATATCTTCCCCATCTGGTTTCCACCCGCTTCATTTGGCTGTCAGCCATCTTTGAAAATATTTTTAGCTCTTTATCCTCTTTGTACAGAGTAGTTTTTGCTTTAAGAGTTTATTTATATATCAGAAATGAGACTGAAAGCATTTATGTTTTCTGTTTAAAAAATGAAAGTATTTTTAGAATATTTATATAAATATTGAAAATATATAAATATTGAAAATATTCATAATTGAGTCAGTTATAAATAATATTTAATTCTTTCTTTTTTTCTTTTTTTTTGGAGACAAAGTCTCATTCTGTTGTCCAAGGTAGAGTGCCATGTCATCATCATAGCTCACAGCAACCTCAGTCTCTTAGGCTCAGGCAATCCTCTTGCCTTAGCCTCCTCTCCTGAGTAGCTAGGACTACAGGCACTCAACACAATGCCCAGCTAGTTTTTCTGTTTTTAGTAGAGACCAGGTCTTGGTCTTGCTCAGGCTGGTCTTGAACTCCTGAGCTCAAGCAATCCTCCCACCTTGGCCTCCCAGAGTGCTAAGATTACAGGCATGAGCCACCATCCCAGCCCAAATTCTGGTAGTACTTTTTCTTCAGTTTTGAAAAAATCGCTTTAGTTTAAAGATTTCATCCATACACTGAACCATATTTGATTTGACAATGTAAAGACCGAAGAGTGGATTTCATTTTGGGGGGTAAACATTTATGTATATGTGTTTGTTTAGGCAGAAGATGATGAAGCACCTGTGAATTTGAACAAACACCTGCATCAGATAGAAAAACCTTATAAAGAAGTCATAACAAGGTATAGCATCTCTAAAGCATTAATTTCGGGTTTTCAAACTTTTTTTTTGGATATAAATACATTTATTTTGTGATTAAAACAATCATTTTTGTATAGTGTTCTTTAGCCACAATAACTTCTTTCTTTCAGACACTCTGTTGAAGAACTCTTAGATTCTTATCACAACCAGGTAGAGCTGGCTCTTCAAGTTGAAGTAAGTCTTAATTCACATTTTGACGCAATGATTTAAAGATTCTTGTTGCCAGTGCTAGTGTTGGTTTGGATGAAATATTTTAGGACTCTTAAAACTATAGTTTTTAGGCCAGGCAAGGCTGCACGCACTCCCAGCACTTAGGGAGGCTGAAGGAGGAGGATCATTTGACGTCATGAGTTTTAAGACCAACCTGACAACATAATAAGACCCTGTCTCTCAGAAAATCTAAAAATTAGCTGGGTGTGGTGTCACATACCTGTAGTCATAGCTACCTGGGAGACTGAGCTGGGGGTGTCACTGAGCCCAGGAATTTGAAGTTGCAGTTGTCATGCCACTACATTCCAGCCTGACTGACATAGCAAGACTTTGTCTTTTAAAAAAAAAAAAAAAGGAGAAAGTATGTTCTTGATATTTGATGTCTTATTTTATGGCCAAAGTTCTTAATAATGCTTGAGTCAACATGTTCACTTTCACTTCAGCTTTATTATAAGAGGAGCCTTCAGTTCAATTCAGAGAGCATTTATTGAATGGTTACTATAGACTAAATTCTGGAGTTATGAAAATGAGTTCCTCGGCTCGGCGCCTGTGGCTCAAGCGGCTAAGGCGCCAGCCACGTACACCTAAGGTGGTGGGTTCAAATCCCCAGCCCGGGCCCGCCAAACAACAATGATGGCTGCAACCAAAAAATGGCCAGGCGTTGTGGCGGGCACCTGTAGTCCCAGCTACTTGGGAGGCTGAGGCGGGAGACTCGCTTGAGCCCAGGAGTTGGAGGTTGCTGTGAGCGTGATGCCATGGCACTCTACCCAGGGGGATAGCTTGAGGCTCTGTCTCAAAAAAAAAAAAAAAAAAGAAAGAAAGAAAATGAGTTCCTCACCTATCAGGAATGTATAAACTAGTGGTTGGATATTTAAAGAAAATTTCAATATAGTATAGTGAATGTGGAGTATAACTGTATGTGCTGGAGTTCTTTGGCAGATTAAGAAAGGGTACCTTATTTAATTTGAGGGTTTAGGGAAGGGCTTTTTTTGAGACAGAGCCTCAAGCTATCCCCCTGGGTAGAGTGTCGTGACTTCACAGCTCACAGCAACCTCCAACTCCTGGGCTCAAGCGAGTCTCCTGCCTCAGCCTCCCAAGTAACTGGGACCACAGGCGCCCGCCCGGCTATTTTTTGGTTGCAGCCGTCATTGTTGTTTGGCGAGCCCGGGCTGGATTTGAACCCGCCACCTTAGGTGTATGTGGCTGGCACCTTAGCCACTTGAACCACAGGCTCCGAGCCATAGGGAAGGGCTTTTAATTAACTGAGCCAAGTCTTAAACAGTATGAGTTAGCCAGAAGAAAGCTGGAAAGGGGATATAAAAAAAAGCAAATAGGTGTGATACTTATGTGGATGTATAAGCAGTTTTGTAATAGAGTATAAGATGTGAAATTAGGATTCAGAGATGACATTGGAGATTGCCAGATATAAGTTGCCACTGTTTAATACAAGTTAAGGAATTTTAGTTTATCATGTAGGTCGGGATCATATCCAGTTCACTTTCTGTTTTTTATAAATACAGATTTTTTAACACAACCACACAAGGACCCCCCCCTTGGGAAGCTGTGCACTGACACCAGTGCTTGGTTGAAAACAATTTTGGAACTCTGTTTTTTTTTTTTTTAAATGACCATCAGAGCTGTGTCAGACAAGGTCTGACAATTAAGTTTGTGAACTCATCCTAGGAGAAGTGCTACACACCTCTTTGCTGAATATCACTATGGTCACCTCTGAAGTACTCCTCTTGGCCATCTGGTGACTATAGTGACATTCAGCACTGAGGTATGTAGCACTTTTTCTGGGATGAGTTTGTGAATTTAATTGTCGGACCTTGTATTATCTCTTGTCATTTTCATTCCAGGGTTAAGTAGTTGGAACAAAGATCGTATCCTAAACTGTTTACTGTTTGCTCCCATACAGAAAAAGTTTGTTGACCCCCTGATTTAGCCACGTAGGTATTTTTATCCAACACTGGGAAGTAGGGTGAGGCAAGGTGTCGATAGGCTCCAAGTGTTGAGTCCCACTTTCGGCACCAAATGTCAGGGTCCTGCCCCCAGTTCCACTAAGACCTGTGGAACTGGCATGACTGAAGAAATATAATGTTAGGAACGACAATAAAGAAAGAGACACAAGACACAGAATAGAATTTTCAAAGGTGGCCTGTTCATGGGCTCTGGCAAGTGGCCCCAAGTCTTTGTCCCACACAACTTTTATTGAAATCTATCTGCCCAGGTGGTAAACTAAGGGAGGGAACAAAGACAGCAATACTTTCTTTGAGTGAGCTATCAGCTCCTATTGTTATTATTAACTTTAAAAATTTGAGCAGTTTTGGAGAATCTGAAACTTGAGCCTTGTGTGGCGGCAGCCTCCTGTCTGGAGTCATACAGACAGATTCCAAGGGAGGTGTTAAGCTCTGCTAGTTCACTGTGGAGTAAAACCCCACTGGTGTTAATCTCTTCTGAGTAATTGGTGGAAGAGATGCTTTTTCCTCTCATCACCACCACAGAGGATTTTCCTATGTGTAAGGGGTGTTTAGCTTTACTGCCCGTATGGTAGGGCTCAAGCTATTCCCTTGGTCTTTGACCCAGCCAAATGCAAATCTCCACAATGGGTATCTGCTTTGTCTGTTTAATGGGCAGGAAACGACCCAGAAGGTGAATCTATTCCAGGTCTTGTCATAACCTCTTTTATGACCATTTTACTTCCTCAGAGTGTTCACAGACTCAGCAGGGGATTGGTGTAAGCTGTATCCCCAATAGGCCAGAGTTTCAAGAAAAGCCAGAAACTTGTTCAAATAAGAAATTTAGCAATAGCTAGCTTAAAGGTAAATTAGCTGACTTTTCTTTGTTCCGACTCCTTCAGCTTACTTTTTAATTTTCCCTTTTTCTGGGGGTGCCCTCCCCTTCCCAGAATGGGGACTGAAGACTACAGCAAGGGACTTGTTCAGTCTTATACTCTGAAATTACTCTGACCATACTTTGGAAGTTAGATTTAAAGCTGGGATTGGTTTGGGGGAGACTGCTTAGAAAGGTTTTTTCATGGTACTCCAGCTGAAAGATGATGAGCACGGCAAAGCTAAAACGGAGGGAACAGAATATTTAGGAGATAACATTGATCAGATCTTGGTAAGTTCTTAGATATGAATAATAAAGAGGAAAGAGGGCTCAGCATCCATAGCATAGTGGTTACGGCACCAGCCACATACAATCCTTAGCTGTCCTCTGGGATATACACCAAAGCTGACTGGTTCAAACCTGGCCCAGGCCAGCTAAACAATGACAACTGCAACAAAAAATAGCTGGGCATTGTGGCAGGTGCCTGTAGTCCCAGCTGCTTGGGAGGCTGAGGCAAGAGAATTCCTCGAGCCCAAGAGTTTGAGGTTTTTGTGAGCTGTGACGTCACAGCACTCTACCAAGGGCGACGAAGTGAGACGCTGTCTCAAAAATAAATAAATAAGAGGGCTCGGCGCCTGTGGCTCAAGTGGTTAAGGCGCCAGCCACATACACCTAAGGTGGTGGGTTCGAATCCAGCCCGGTTCCGCCAAACCACAATGATGGCTGCAACCAAAAAAATAGCCAGGCATTGTGGCGGGTGCCTGTGGTCCCAGCTACTTCGGAGGCAGAGGCAGGAGACTTGCTTGAGCCCAGGAGTTGGAGGTCACTGTGAGCTGTGATGCCACAGGACTCTACCCAGGGGGACAGCTTGAGGCTCTGTCTCCCAAAAAATAAATAAATAAATAAGAGGAAAGAGTATGAGTGTAGAATGACTTCTAGATTTCTGGTGAATACATTCTTGTCAGCATATAAACGTATTCATTTGTTCAAACAATATTTGCTGAGTATCTCCTTATTATGAGGCAATGTAATAGGTGCTGAGAATATGGCAGTGAACAAAAGAAACCATAATCTTTGCCCTCAGAGTTTACATTCTAGTTGGAGGAGGTACAGTAAAATAAATTGGCAAAATATCTGTTACATTAGATAGTAAGAGTTATAGAGAAAAATATAGGAGAGAGTAATATAATTTTAAAGAAGATAGAGAAGCCTCACTGAGAAGATGAATTTGAACAAAAACCTGGAGAGGAAGGAAAGGGAGAGGCCATCTGGCTATTCTGCACCATGAGTGCTCCAGGGAGACAAAACTGTTAAGTAGAAGGGCCTAAGTAGAGAGTGTGCCTGGAACATGCAAGATCTGCTAGGCTTTGGGAGCTGTAAGAGAAGGGATGTGAGCAAGAGTGGAAACAAGTCAGTTAGGACGGTGACGCCATAGGAAAGTGGTGATGGCTTGGACCAGGGTAACTGCAGTAGAAGTGGTGAGAAGGACTTGAATGCTATGATACATTTTGAATTAATGCCAGGAAGATTTACCCATAGTTTGGATATGGAGCATGAGAAGAGAGGAGAATTTAGAGTAACTCTTAAAATTTCCTACCTGAGCAATTGGAAGTTCAGAGTAACCTTCTAGTGAGATGCGGAAAACAGTAAGAGCAGGTTTGGAGGAAAGATCAGGGACTCACCTTTGGGCATTGCGTTTGGGATGACTGTTATTCATCCAACAGAGATCCTGAGTAGGTAGTTGACATGAATCGGGAATTATGTGTTGTATATCCAGGCTAGAGATAATAAACTCCAGAATCTTCAGAATATAAATGGTGTTTTGTTGCCATAAGACTGGATGAGATCACCAGGAAAATTACTGGAGGTAGAGAAAAAAAGTATTACCCATCTTAAAACAAAAAATCCACATCCACCTGCAGCGACCACTGTACTTCTGTATTCTCCTTGCCGCAAACTCCTGAAAGTTATGTTTTGCTGCTTTCATTTCCTCTCTTTACGTTCTTTATGAACCCACTTCAGTCAGTCTCTCATTCTTAATATGTCGCTGAGTTATCAAGGACTTCGTGACTCTGAATCCACTAGTCCACTCTTAGACATTATTTTTCTTTGATATAGTTGATAATTTCTTT